ATGGCAGAGGAGGAGGAGGTGAGGAGGAGAGAGCCTGGGGCCGTGGAGGGAGGAGAAATCCCCTCGACTCCTGGTACCTGGCTGTGCTAAAGTCCGACTGCAGGTCGAAGGCGGCCATGGCCGCCGCGCTGCTGATGGATGCTGCCTGGCTCCTCGCTCGCCGCTGCTGCTGCTCCTCCACGCTGCGCTAACGCTCCTGCTGCTGAACCGATACGACTGGCGCTCTAGCAGCGTCCCAGTGCTCGATGCCTAAGAATGAGGCTGAACCGGTATTAAGTACCAGTGGGGCAAGGGCTGGCCTCAATGCTGCGAGGCCTGGCCATGACCTGAACCGTCGAGATCGTCGGTTCAGATCAGACCGGCGGGCGGCAGCCTCAAGAGCGCCGCCACCCAAACGGTAATGTCGTTTGGGCCTGCCTGTCGGGTCTGGTCCAAAATGCGGCCTTTCGGCCTGCTGTACCCCCAAGTCTGGGCCTTTAGGCCCTACTGTGTCCCCTTGGCCCTAAGTCGGGTCCGGTAGGACCCGTGTGGCGTTGAAGATGTAACACACTCCCCCTCTTAAAAGACCGAGCTACCTGCGAGGGCGGAGTTGTCTGTCCGATACCGGGGTGGGTCGGGCGGGACGAACTGCTTCCTTGGCAAGTCGTCGCTTCTCATAGTCGGCGAAGATCAGGGGTGCAGAAGTCTGCAAGTCTGCTCGGGAGATCCACCGAGTGTCGTTAGGCGCACATTGCTTGAATGTGACTTTGAACTGCATTGGCTTGTTGCCATACTTGCGGTGCGTGATGACTCGGTCGACTTCCTGATGTCCGTCCATAGAAGGCGGATCCTGTGATCGTCGGTCCGGAAACTCGTCAGCGGAAGGTGGCGTGTAGATGGCCAGCTTCGACGCGTGGAAGACCCGGTGCACTGTAAGGTGCGGGGGAATGTTGACCACAAAGGAAGGACCTGTGGGGTCGTCTCCAACGGCAGAAGTAATTTCCCATGGTCCGAACCATTTCGGAAGGAGTTTGCACGAAACGTCCTGCTCGAGCGCAAATTCCTCGGAGAGGACCCAAACAAGGTCTCCCTCGCGGAAAGGACATGGAAGTCGACGTCGGTTAGCTTGCTGCTGCATGCGGATTTGAGCCTTTTGCATATTCGCGCGAGCTTTAATCAGCAAGTCCCGGTACTTCCGAACGGAAGCAGCAGAGCAAGGGACGTCTATGTCGGCGGCCCGTGGTAGAAGGAGATCAGCGAAGATCCGTGCTTTCTCTCCACCATGATGTAACTCGAATGGTGTGACGCAGATCGCCGGGTGCACCGAAGTGTTATWGGCGAACTCGATGTCGGGAAGCCGGTCAACCCAATCTTTCTGGTCGGGACGGATGAGCGTACGCAACATCATCTGAGCGATCTGGTGTGCTCGCTCCGTCTGGCCATCCGTCCGCTGGTGTCGAGCCGAGCTCGGCTTCATTGTCATAGTAATCCAAACGGTGTGCCAGAGTCGTGCGAGCTCAGGTGCTGCAGCATGATACTTGCAAGGAAGGAAGCGAGCATACTTGCTCAAACGGTCAACGACCGTGAGAATACCGTCATGGCCGAGGCGATCGCGGGGGAACGGGCCTGTCACGTCCATAGCAATGGAGAGGCGCGGTGCCCGAGGAATCGGCAACGGTTTCAGTTCGCCGAAGGGGACTCGAGATCGACCCTTGTTACGGGGGCAAACTGCACATGACTCAATGTACCTCGTGACGTCGTGAAGGACGTCGGGCCAGTGAAAACGTTGGAGGAGGCGTGCTAATGTGCGATTTACGCCAAGGTGTGCCGAAAGTCGTGCGTCGTGGAATTCGCCGAGAAGAGGAGTCCGTAAGATGCGAGCTTGGGGCACAACTAACAAGTCCTTTCCTCTCGTGTGAAGGAGAAGGAACCCGTCGGAAATCCAATAATGACTAGCCGGCGGGTGATCCGATGAAAGCTCCGCGTAAAGCGTAGAGTAAGTCGGATCGGACTTGTAGCCTTTGACGAAATGCGGCTGCAGATCGTCATCGAGGTCGAATGCCGCGGTCACAATGGCACAAAAATCGGGCCGTCGTGAGAGGGCGTCCGCAACTCGATTGGCGGGACCGGGAATGTGGCACGGGTTAAAGTCGAACTGGTCGATGTAATACATCCATCGTCTGATCGTGCTAGTGACCGTATCCTGCATTTTGTAAAAGGTCAACGGATTGTTGTCCGTATTCCATTTAAAACGCCGACGATCGAGAAGAAAGTGGCGCCACCGTTTGAGAACGGTGACGAATGCGAGTAGCTCTTTCTTCCTAGCGTCGTCGAGAGTGTTGACGAGAGGCACCTTTTGGGAGAAATACTCAACCGGATGCCAACCGTCCTCGTGACACTGTTCCAACACCGCACCAATACCGTATCCCGAAGCGTCCGTAGTCACTTGGGTGGGTAGGGTGGGGTCGTATATACGGAGGGCAGGTGCGGCTTGCATTGCTGCCTTCAACGTACTGAACGCGCCACGGGCTGCATCGTCGAACTCGAAGGGCACCTTCGGGGACTGAAGTCTCGACAAAGGAGCGGCCACTTTCGAGTATGACTCGACGAATCGCTGATAATATCCAGCCAAACCCATGAAAAAGCGTACATCCAACGGGGTTCCGGCCAATCCACGATGGCTTGGATCTTGTCCGCTAAGGGACGAATGCCTTTCGACGTGACATAGTGGGCCAAGTACTCAAGCTCCTGCTTGGCGAACTCGCACTTGTCGAGATTCGCTTTGTACTTGGCCAGTCGCAAACGATCCAAAACAGCGCGAAGGTGTACGATGTTCTCATCCAACGTCCTACTATAAACCAAGATGTCATCGAGGTAGATGAGGACGCTGCGATCGAGCAAGTCGCGAAACTTAGTCGTCATAGCTGCTTGGAAAGTTGCGGGGGCATTGGTGAAGCCAAATGGCCTGACAACCCACTCAAAGTTCCCGTACCGCGTCTTGAACCCGGTTTTGTACCGATCTTGAGGCTGGATTTCAATTTGGTGGTAACCCGACTTCAAGTCCAACTTCGAGAAGTACGTCGCGCCGCCTAACCGCTCAAGGAGATCATCAATCCGAGGGAGAGGGCCGGCGTTCTTTACGGTTTGTGCGTTAAGTTTTCGATAATCAATGCATAACCGTAGATCTTTGTTCTTCTTCCGAACGAAGAGAACAGGGGCACCGTAAGGCAAACAACTAGGGCGAATCCAACCCTTGTCAAGGAGGTCGTCGAGTTGTGCGCGAAGCACCTCAAGTTCCTCTTCGCTCATGCGGTAAATGCATCCACGCGGAGGGACGGCGTCAGTCTCGAGAGTGATCCTGTGACGTATGGGCCGATCTGGAACCGTTCCGGTGGGAGCCTCGAAGACGTCTCCATACTCGTCCAAGAGGTGAGAAATGCGTGGGTCCGGCGGTGATGCGGCTGGTCTGTCCGGCGAGGGAAGAGCATGCAAGAATAGAAGGCCCATCTCCTCGACGTCATTTCGAGCTATGGCGTCGCGAATTCTCGCAACGGAAACCACGTGACAAGCGATCGAAGTGTGAGGGGTCGTGACCGTTCATGGGACTAACACTCCGTTCCGATCAAGGATGTGAACGGTTCGGTCATGAAAGTTCACCGGATGATCGGCGCTATGCAACCAAGACATGCCTAGAATCGTGTCGAACTTTGTGTCGAGGATGTTAAAAGACACCGACTCGCACGCAAGTGGTGCAAAGTATACCGGGACGCCATCAACGCATCGGTCGATTGACTTTTGCGTGCGGTCGTCCGCGAGCATAACTTGCGTAGGTTGCGTCTTCCTTCGAACGCGCGGGCCAAGGCCTGCGCGGGCCATAAAGGCTTGGTTCATAAAATTGCGAGATGCTCCGCAATCAATCAAGGCACTGCAAGTTGCCTTTCCGATTTGAATGCGGATATAGAGCAACGGCACGTCGGTCTCGGCGTACCATTGGGTAGCATACTCGCGATCAATCTTCGCAAGATAGGAGCGGAGATCGACAACCGCTACTCCATCGTCCGTCAACGGAGCTGGTATTGCAGTGTGCAAATAGGACCGTAGATTTGCCATCAAGGTGTTGCAATGCGGCATTGGCAAGGTTCCGGTTGAGGGTATAGGCATCCAAGCGAAGTCCTCTCTCGTGAGCGGGTCAAGCTCCTCAAGTCTTGACCACGCCGTCGAGTCCTCGGAAATCAGTGGCGAGTTGACCAGATCACTTGCCGACGGTGTACAGGCGACGCATACGCTATCTAAGTGCACGTGGCTAGGCTGGTCCAATGGTGGTACCAGCTGGGCGGCATAATCCTCGTACGTAGCACGAGAATCAGCGACTAACGCATGCTCCCCGGTAGCAACATCGGTTGCTAGCAAGGCAACCGGTTCCGGCGGAGTGAGGAGAGGCGTCGCCCCTCTCCTTGCGTAACTCAGTTTCCCCAGTTCGCTGGACGGGGTACGCGTGCCTTGCCCATTTCAGGGCATTGTGTTGTCAAGTGAGTGACACCATTGCACCAAAGGAAATATCCGTACCGTTGACGAAGATCAAATACTTCCTTGGTTATGTTGAACGTCGTCCATGGTCGCTGCCCAGTTCCCGTCGATGTCGTCGTTTGTGTCGCCTTGTTCTTCCGAACTCTCTTGGGGCGCTTCAGCGGGAGCGCTGCGATAGTTCCTCCATCACTCGAAGATGCTGCTGCAGCGTGGAGATCGACTGATTCTTCATAAATGACGGCATTGTTATGTGTCGGTCGTTGATAGCCCTGCTTAGCCACATAGTGCGGTTGGGACCGTCGTTCGTTAGCAGCCTTGTCATCCGTTTGGATGACCAGGTTTGCACGATCCAGAATAGCCTGGAATGAGGCATAGTCGTACTCGTTGCCGAGTGCCGACCGCAGTCCTGCACACGATCGTGAGAAGAACTCGGATCGTTGGTTTGGAAAACTCAAATCGAAGCCTGGCGTGGTACCTATCTTCTGCCACTTGATCGTCCAGTCTCGAGTTGGTATGCTTCCTTGTGAGCTGGTGTAAACCTCGTTCATGGCCGCCTTCACGACGTTGCGGACCATGAATCGAGTGAACCATAGTTGCTCAAACTCCTTCCACGGAATGTGCGTGTGGAGTTCGGCGATGGTGCATTTCTTGGTAGCCGCAAGATGGTTCATCCATACCTGTGCTCCTCCAATCAGTTGGAGGTAGAGCGCCTTCATCATGTCTTCAGCCGGGACAGTGCGGCAGGATGCTTCCGTGAGGAAACCTTGCCACCGTGCCAAGGCGTCAGTCTTGTTGTAGTCGTCAAACTTGCTGATGTTGAAGTGCGGCATCTTGTAGTTCTTTGTAGCGGCGTCCGGTCTTGTCTGCAGTTTGGTGATGTGCGTCTTAATGACGGCCACCGTGCTGCTGATCGTGTCCGGACCTGTGAAAGCACCTAGTTCGCCGATTAGATTGACGACATGGTCGATGTGCTCGCCGAGCTGCTTCGCTATGTCTGGTGTGCAGCCTGGCGCTACTTGGGAAGGCCTTGCCTCCAGAGCAGCAATGCGGGAGTCCATCTGTTGCAGCTGGGAGTCCGCGACCTTAACGGCTACTGCAAGTGTCTTCACGTTATGGCTAAGATTATGCTGCAGTTGCCGTGTAGACCTGGAATGAAGGTCCCCCATGGTGCTGTTCCAGATAACTGCACGCATCGTGCATAGTAAAATGTCTGCCAGGTTTTGTCTCTCCTGCTCTACTGCCGTCGGCTCGACGCCTGCTACGGGGACATAACGCATCTCGTTGAGCACAGCGGCCCACTTATCGTGTTGAGCGATCAGAAGGTCGGCACTGTCGGCGTTGAGCTTGTCGGCCGCCAACTGCTCCGCCTCAGCTTGTCGCTGGGCTTGGGCTGCAGCTTCTGCTGCCAACCGCTGTTTGTCTGCTTCGGCAGCATCTTGTCGTTCCTTGGCAAGGGTTAGTGCGGCCGTATAGGTCTGCACTCTCTGAAGGTAGTCCGTGATGGACTCGTTCGGCCCTTGAACCGGACAGACCGACAATGGTTCGGCATTGCTAGATGTCGAAGTCTCAGATGATGTTCCGCTGTTAGGCGTGATCGCCATCGAAGTGCTGGTCTGTGGCTGCTGTCGAACTGCAGGTTGTTGTTGCTGTTGGCGATCTGCGATCCTCTTGCTGCGTCGTGGCTGCTGTTCGTGGCTTGCCCTGCTGGCATTAGAAAACTGCTACTGAAGGCTGGCTAGTCTGAATAGTCGCAAAACAGTAAGAGGGAGAGGGTGGGCACAGGGATAGAACAGATCAAGCAATTCGCATACAGTCCCTGTCCCAACTATGGACTTAGACACCTAATCAAACAGAAAAAGATAAACTTTCCCCGAAACAACTTTCAAAAATTCGTAATAAGAAATAATAACGAATTAATAATCAATAAATTTTAATTAATGATTAATAATGAATTAATACTTTCTTAATAATAATCAATAAAACAATAATTGCAATAATGATAATTAACGAATTTAAATTGTGGAAAGATTAGGTATCCGTTGAGATCATCTATGGTCCGGGAGTTCACCGTTGAATAGTGAACCACCCGGAAGTTGCGATTCTGAGGGAACGATTCCGAACAGTTTGCCAAAAAAAAAATTCGGAAAATTAGGGAGAAAAACACTCGAATTTTCGAAAAACGTAAAATTTCGGGAATTTCAACCTACAAAATCCGATTTTTAACGGCCTGAGTCCATATTCGGAATTTCTCCAACTAGGGAGAGAAAAAAAAAAAATCGCGAAAATTTCGGATCCCAACCCTAATTTCCCGCGAGTCCGCGGAATTTCCGGTTTTACGGTTCCAAAACGTTCAAATTTCCCAAGTTGATAAAAAAAAAACCGAAATTTTTCATAACCCTAATTTCCAATACCGAAATAAAACGGAAATACCGATTTAAAAACCGAAATGCCAGATTACAAACAGAATGCCGAATTAAAAACGGAAAACCGAATTTTGAAATCAGAATGTCGAATTAAAACAGAATATTGATTTAAACAGAAATCGAATTAGAATCAGAATACTGAATTAAATAGAATATAAGATTGACCAGAATACCAATTAATCGGAAACTGAATTAAACAGAATACCGATTTAAAACAAAATCCCGAATTGAAAGTCAGAATACCGAATCGAAACGGAATGCTGAATTAAACAGAATACCGAAAAACAAAAACAAATTTTGCAACTTTGAATCTCGATAGTAATGCAGAGCTGATTTGGAAGATCGAAGAAAACAATCTATTCCTAAATCAGACTTACCTTGTGAGCAGAGCCGTTATTTGGTCTGCTCCGATACCAAAATTGTTGCATACTTGTGAGTACTTCAACAAATATGGGCAGAACCAAGAGATCAACCAATATAGGATGAGCATGTATGCACCGGAAGTCTGATAAATGGACTAACTCACATAGACTCACTCACACAGATATCACTCCACACACAAACAATCGTGAGATGGTGGGGTCTGAGCCAATCATAGATGATGCTTAGGCCCCGTACACACATACACAAATGAAAGGTGGGAGGAGAGACGAAGGAGGTGGGAGATGTAGGCAGCGCCAAATGTCACCGAGATAGAATCCAGTAGGTCACCGATATGGTAGTCCAAAATGTCATCGAACAAGATCAAAATGTCGTGGACAATAAGTCACCAATGT